AGGGGTGTGACAAAGCCACCCCCCCCCTCACAGACACACACACCAATCCTAGGAACAAGGGCTGGGGAAATGTCATTAGAAAGACAATGGGCGCCCATAGGATTCCCCAGTTGTTGCCCCCTGCTGTTCACAGAATGGGGGCAGCATGCATGAATGACGGAGAGTAGACTGCTCTGATTAATTGACTTACATTACAGCATACGGTAAATGTAAGTGTGCACATGCAGGCACACGTGTGCAGACAGACATACACAGCAGGCCCTCTGAACACTCAGTCTTTCCTTTCTTCCACTTAACCATGACAGAGAATCAATGGCTGTGACAGATTTCTATAGCACGGTATATTAATGATCGTGAGGGTTCGCTTGATGTTGCCCTGAGGAGGTAAAAATAGTGCATCTGTGGCCAACAAAGCGGAATGACACCTGGCCAGTGGAAGAACAAGGGATGCAACGGGAAACAAAAAGAGTGACAGAAGGTGGAACCTCTGGAGAGACGGACCAGTGGAATCATCTTCTTTCCAGCAAGGGGGGGAAGATTCTGCCGCTTAGTCCAACAAACACTGAAGCTTGCAATCTTAGCATCTCGCATTGAGAGCTTCACCTTCCTCTTCCCTCCATCCTCCGCAGCATTGTCTGTTTTGAGCAGACGTGTCCCCCCCTCCCGCCGTGAGGCCTTTGGCTGAATTGCTCCGAAATCCCCTTTTCCACTAATGTCCACGTCCGTTAGCATGCCTCTGTGACGGGAGCCAAGGTGAATGAAAAGGCAGCCTCTTTCAGGACTAATTCTCATTCCTCTCTACTATCTTGATGAACACTGACAGGAAGCACACAGCCTGAATGCCATCTCCAAGGAGCACCTCACATACAGACACGGACGTCTCACCGCACACACATAAGGCGACAAAAGATATCACACGAAAAACCTAAACAATAAACAAACAGGCTTTTAAATCCCTCGCAGCCGTCCAGGGGATGCACTCTTGTCAGAGATGGTTAGAGATGAATGCAGCATTTGTTCTTTAATGCTGAACTCGTCATGTTCTTCATTCTAAGAAACAAAAGCACACGCCAAGTGGCTGCCAGTCCTTCCCATTCTTTTGACAAAACTACTCAAACTGCAAATTTACTGGTTAGATATGCATAATTTACCACCATCCCCCCACCTCATTAGCTGCGCAATACGCCCTTGATCTGTCCGTGTGCCAGTTATACATACTTACAATGCACAGACTTAAATAAACAGCCTTAGCTGCCTTGGACTCGCGTTTTCCGGCTTTCCCTCGTTGGGTCGCACCCTACAACACGGGGAAAGTGGCGGAGGAGAGGAGAACAGTGCTTCCCACATGAAATTTCCCTGAAAACAGGGAATTCTGTGTCCCTCTCCCTCAGGACGGCCACAGGGGTGGGGGGCCCTCCTTATTGGTTAGCCGGCGTCAAAAGCATAGCGGCTCCCTGGGGGCTTACATCCCCGCCCCAGACAAGTAACACCTGGCGATGGCATCAATTATGGATCAGTGCAGTGCGATGGGGGGGGGGGGGGGGATAGCACGCACACGGGCCAATTAATTTTCCCCAGGGAAGCCAGGATTTAATAACCCACGCAGCTCTCTCACACCATTCTTTAAAGGAATCAGCAGAGGGGTTTATGCCTGTTCAGAAACATGTTGATTTGGTACATTCATGCGGGTTGTTTTTGCTCTGCACCCTTAGCTCATTGCATCCAGGCATCTTAATAAACTGGAGAAGGACCAATTTCACACTACAATAGGCTGCATGATACATGTGCTTTGGTCATGTGTGTGCAGCTGTTCATGCTCTTAATCTACAGCCCGTAACACCAAACAACACGGCAACTCACAGGAGCTTCCAGAAGTTCCCAATGCCTGAACACACTGCCGGCGCTGCCAAGTTGTCATATTTTTGTCATATTTTTCTGTCAAACACACGTTTGACAGAAATTTGAGGACCGGCACTGGGGAGAATAAAAGCACATATGCGAAATGGACGCCTGTAGAGCCAGAGGAAAACAAACACGATGAAAGCTTAACTAACTAAACAGCGCCGTGAGTGGCTGACTTGTTTTTAAGAACATATTTAAAATTTGATGACACCGCTATAGTGCTCCCCATTGTGTTAAATTAACCAATCATGACAAATTCATTTACTTACTGTTGTTTTTTTTGTTACAGTTGCTTTGCATTTGCTCTTCAAAGCTTGTCTGTTAGCCCGAATAAAAATACAAGAGAACCTTCCCATCCTCACGTCTAAGGAAGCCGCCCCCCCCACCAATTCTACTCAATAAATGCCCATTACACAGCAAGCCAATCGAAAGGCAGAAAGCCCCGCATGGCTGAATGAGCAAAACACCTCGGAGATATCAGAGACCAGCAGAGCTTTATGACAGCCAGCCACTGTACCTCAGCTGCTTGTATGAAAAGCAGACGGCACCAGGAGTGTGCAGGGATCTGATTCTCCTTAGCTAGTCACCACTGCTCTGCTTCTTCAGAGGTAAAGTGACCTTGCTGTAAATTGAAAAGGAAAAGAATACACAGTGTGGGGGGGGGGGGGTGCAGGAGAAAACTGAGCAAAACAGAGCATTATGATTCCCAGATATCTGCACTGTTACACCAAAAAGACCAACGAGGTACATGTTACTATGCTTTACACAAGATCAAACTGTTTTGACATGTCAGTTTACCTTCACTCATGCACATTAATATAGCCTGTTACACAGCACCATGAGCAGTATTCTCCTGTATGAGATGCAATGGCTTTAAAGTACAGAGAACTGGACAGAGGGAAGGATGCAGTTCCGTTTCTTTCAGGAACACACCTAAACTTTTTCTGCTTAGCTGTGCGATTAGCCTGCTGCCCGTCGAGGGGCATTTCCCGCACAGTCAGCTTCCTTTCCTCTGTGGTCATATGCAAACTCGCTCTTCCCTTCTGTTGTCCGAGACTCGCAAGTCCTGAGAAACGTTTCTCAAAGCGGTTCTGGAGAATCCCCGGCAGCGACAGCATGCGTTTGCTCACTGACAAAGTCAAAGTAAGGCAACAACAATCAGACAATGCAATCATACAGACAAGACGATAAATACAAAGTCAATAATCCTGCCAAAATGTTGATGGGATACAGTAAACCTTAATAACAGATCAACATTAAAATAAGTGACACTCATGCAGCTGTTGTGACAGCGATGATAATCAGTGGGTGCAGTAGGGTCATAAACACTGCAGCAATTTCAATATGCTCCCTCATTTAATTAATCCACCCCCCCCCCCATTATTTAACCTAAGACTGAACCACACTGTATAGCCAGAGAGTTCATAATGATGGATGGAGCAGGTCTGTCCTTAACTGTGTCGCAGAGAACCCTCAGGGTGGATAACTTGGCCTCAGTACTTCACTCTTCGGGAAGCTTTCTGTGTGTCAGGGCTGTGCTTCTCTTTGCCCGCTGCTCAAACAGAAAACCACAATTCCCTGATGCCACCCTCAGCCATTCATGTAGCGCCAACCCTACCAGGCAGCACCGCTAGCTAAACCAATCAGCAGCCAGTCACGGCCGTTCCCCCCTACAGGCGACCCAGGCGGCTGCCTAGGGCGCCGATTCCTGAGGGGCGCCGTTGGTGATGCTCCCCTACGGCGGCACATGGGCTTTACTTTTTCTGGGAAGTGGGGGGGCATTTCATTCATTCATGTCTGGCTACAGACAAATATATGTCAGTCCCGATATGGGGCCCGCCTACCACGAGCTGGTTTCGACTCCTGTTGTAATTTAATGCTTGGCTGCCCGGCTCATGTGCCTCGCTGCAGGACGGTCACATGGTTTCCAGGGAAACTCACCTTGATGGGCCCAGCTTCACCATGCATGTGCCCAGGCAGACAGCATGTGACAAGGAATAATGACTTATTCTACGGCGCAGAGGTCTTTCCCGTACTCCATTATATGCCTGTAGTTCGGTTATATAAAATTAGATGGAAAATCTCACTACTTGAAATATGATAGGGTAAGACCATGTGGAGCTTATGTGCAAGTCTAGAAGACAAGAGGCAAGTCTTCATCTTTGAGGGTCTCGCATTGGAGCGAGTAATCTGAGTGAACGTGTGAAGACCGCCTGAGGAGGCCTTTGTACAGGGCAGAAGGTGGGGGCAGGGCTGCTGGGGCCGGGGCATGGGGAGGGGGGCAACAGCTGGGTAAACAGGCCTCACTAGACTGCACCATGCTTCTTTCTGCGGGGGGGGGGGACTGCTGGGGCTTCTGCGTCAGTTACCACCACACAAATTGCAACGCCCAGTTTACTAAGATCAGTCAAAATTGCAATATTGTATTAATGGAAGTAAAGTGGCAAGGCTAATCTGTGTTTAAAATATTTATTTGAGAATGCTAGTCTGTGCATGATGCTGCACTGACAATATTGTAAAAGATGACATATACCTAGCAAATGCCGGGTGAATTACAGCAAACCCCTTCATAAGTATTATGCTGATCATATACAGCATAATATGCTGACCAACAGCAATGTAATTAACACTCCTTCCTCCACCGTCAACCATTACTTTGAGTATCCAGTGCTCAATTAATTTATGCATATTTTAATTAAAACTTTATCTTCAAAACATAACTGTTCCAGGCAGCTCATAGCTCTGAAAAACTTATCCACAAAATTCTGCAGCTGAATATGCATCTTAATCACAATGGCATTTTGCAGCGGAGAGCTGCATTAATAGCTCTAGCGAATGAAGTGGCGTAGATGAGCGTCCTCCGTTTGTGCGAAGCCATTTGCCCCCAGAATAATCAGACAACAAAGGTCATCAGCTGGCAAAAGCTTTTCACCAAGTTTTAAATTAATAACGCAAAAATCTTTTCCCAGTCATTATGAATTTTTGGTCCTTCAATCCAATTCCCTACCCGCTACACACTTAATTACTGAATCCAATTACTTTAAATTGCAGAGAGATTGCCCCCGGCCTTGATTATCAGATTAAGGAGGTGCACCAACCATTTCCATGATCGCTGGGCTTCAGCACAATCAGATAGTGTGATGCGATAACACCCAGCAGAGCCCTCCGCTTCCACGCAGAGCTGGTGGGGGGAACTCGCTCCCTGGGCTTGATGTGTGGATAGTAACTGGCAGAGCAGTTACAGGCTACGCATCTGCAGCGAATACAGAGAGGTCAGAGACAGCAGCTGTGACAGGAAGTGCGCTATAAACACATCTGCCAGCACTGACGGTACGCCAGAGACCAAGGGATGCCAGTTTAAGGCAATCAATCAAACATGCAACACAATTATAAAAAAACACACAGCTGGTATGATTGTGTCAAACATCTTCTCCTTACCCTGTGACCACAGAATATCTGTGTTTAACTACAGCCCCATGAGAGAAGGTCACCTGCTGCTGCTGATGATCTTGCTGAATAGCCTACAAGCCAAGGGAAGTGATCCGGTTCAGAGTCAGTGACTCCGCTGGCAGAGCTCCATGCTGGATGTGAAGGAAAATAGCACCAACGAGCTAGAAACCGAAACTCATCCGGGTTAATGCCCGGACAACATTTTACAAACATGACGAGAGGCTGGTGTAAGAACGTTATCCGACAGAAATTCACAGAAGCAGCTGGAGAAATGATCACAGCAGGAGAGAGGCTCCCAGATTGCTGCACAGACAGGCTAAACTACAACATTATCAGTTACCATTTGCCCTATATTTGGAAGTGCAGCTGAAATCAGCCGATCAGATCTTCCTTTTAAATTGACAACAATAGTGTGATTTAAGGCCACAATTGACTACAGAAAACAGAAACAACCTGAACTAGCCAAGAAAAATTGGCCCAGAACTGTGAAAGTGTTCTTCTGTGGTCTACGCTTCTGTGATCTGCTGTCCTGGCCAGCTGACTTCATACCTTTAGACCAGTGTTTCCCAGCCTGGTCCTTGGGGAACCCACAGATGGTCCACATTTTTGCTACCTCCCAGCTCCCTGCCAGACAGTCCATATTTTTGCTCCCTCCCAGACAGGCCACATTTTTGCTACCTCCCAGCTCCCTGCCAGACAGTCCACATTTTTGCTCCCTCCCAGCTCCCTGCCAGACAGGCCACATTTTTGCTACCTCCCAGCTCCCTGCCAGACAGGCCACATTTTTGCTACCTCCCAGCTCCCTACCAGTGTTCCCTGACCAGACCCTCAGGGATCCCCAGACGGTCTACGTTATTTCTCCTTCCCAGTAAGAACAAAAACATAGCCCGACTCGGGGTCTCTGGGGACCAGTTTGGGAAACACTGCTTTAGACAGTTGTTTTCATTATTTGAAAACTCCAGCAACCACAGCTTATATTACAGGTGGTCACATAGAGCTGAGTGATGTAGCAAGTCTTGTTTGTATCACTAAAACATGATGGGAAGTTGTGTATTTTGCTCAGTTCATCAAGACAGTGCTATTTTTGGTATCGGTTGCTTTTTCCATCCAACAGACCTCTGCTATTTCTATATGACACGGCCTTAAGAAGACCCCACCCAAGAAGCACTTTCGCTTCCTGAGACATCACCCTGAGATATCACACTTCCTAAATGCTGCTCATCTTGCGGTACTAACAGCACCATAAGGACGAATCACTTCCGATGGGAGTGTAGCCCACTGGACCGAGAGACTGGGCAGCCCGCCTGCATTCAACGGAAAGACAAGATACTTTGAGACTAGAATGGATGGCATTCAACATTACAGGGAAACAAAAGAACACAGAGTTTAATTCCCTTAAACATATGCTTTCACATTTACCAAGAGCGTGTGAAGTACCAAAAAAAGAAAACACTCCTATAAGCTGTGCAGAAGGGTCACCAACTCCGGTTCTGGGGGGCTACTATCCAGTAAGTTTTCTAAAATGAGCCACACCTGTTCCTGGTATTTACCTGAGAACAGGTGTGGCTCATCAGAAGCCGGGTATGATAGAAAACTTACTGGAGAGTAGCCCTCCAGGACCGGAGTTGGTGACCCCTGCTGTACACTATTATTAAAGATATCTGTGGTGATGTCAAATTCAAAAGTAGGTGTTATGGTTATGCAGCACACATAAATATGTTTCCATAAGCCATGATTATAAGCTGTAATGGAGGGGAAATCTACAACATGTCATTTTAAAAATCCAAAGTGCTGGGCATTAAGGACAATTAATTTTAATGCAAATCAGCTTTAAACTGACCGAGGAGTATTCAGTGACATGCCAGGAGAACATTCCCAGGTACCAAAGAGCATGCTGCATGCTGTGAAATCTATAAATCCTTTCAGGCGTCTTTGTCATTCACGCTGATCAAGACAGCAGCAGCCAGCCATGTCCGTGTCTGACACAGTTCAGCTGGGAATAACATGTTCTCCAGTCTTCCTGGAATTGGAACATAAAAAAAAACGTGTTTCCCATTTTGCTTGGCAAAATGTTACGCTGGCTAGAAAATAATAAAACAGAAAGGTCCGTACCCCCTTCAAGAAGGATTTTGCTCATGGACAGCTCTCAGGCCAAAGAACCATGCCGTCTGACACAGAGCACGGGACCACTGTGGGTCAGAGGCTCACACATCCCTCTGTTTGGTCCTACAGGAAGGAACTGCATGGCCCGATAGAGGCACCCACAGGAGGGTCCCACACAAGTGACAGCCTAGAGCAGCGACACACCGTAGGCCGTCATGCTGGAGGGAGCGAGCCACACCGGGACAGGCCAGCACACCGGGACAGGCCAGCACGCCACACCGGGACAGGCCAGCATGAGGGCCGTGGGGAGCACAGCCCCGCCCCCATATCAGCTGCGAACTCGTGCTCAACAGGAAACAATAACTACCATCAATCACTGCCATATGCTGCGATGTCACAAGGCAGCTTCTGAAGCGTCATTTAAATAACGTGACAAATAAAGCCATACATACACACACACAGTTTGCCTCATTAAGAAACTCATTATAATTTTGCCTCCTGTCGGGGGTGACAGCTGAGGAGGACTGAGCTAAGATTCTAATTCTGATACCCCTGTATGTTTCTGAGAGTGCGGGGGGGTTACATTTGGGTTAACCCAGTAGATTTACTGGTGTGCTGGTTATTCGCTTGGAAATCTAAGCTACGTGCAACAGAACCAGAACCTCTGGCTTGTGATCTCGTCAGCAGTCAGCATATACTCATACACCGCTCACTAAAAGACCTTCAGTCAATACAATGGCAAATGGGCCCCATTGTTCTCTCCCCCGTCTGCACATCCAAAGGCCCCTCATTAGACTGACAGGCTGACATATGGGTTTACATATTTAATTAAGGCGACACGCCACCTTGACAACTGCACTATTCTTCCATACATATGGCCCTTAAACAAGTCCAACCACTGCGTCTCCATTAAAATCACAGACAAACAAATAAAATAAATCAATAAACATACAGTAAGCACCTAGCTGCCATGCACAGTTCACCCCGCAGGGTCCCAGCCAGCTCTTGTGTTCTTTACAATAGATTACAGCTGACAATACTAATTCTGACATCTTGGTGCTTATTTTGTTTAGTGTTGAGAATTGAGAACACTTTTGATCTCTGACCCCACCACCAAAATAAAAGAAAAATATTTGACCTAATTAGAAAAAAAAAATCAAGCTAACAAAATTCAGGATTATATGAAAGCGCAGAATACTGAGCCAAGTTTTCAATCATCAATGTGGACGACTAGGCAAATCTCTACTTTATTTAAGCACCCTGTGCTACACAGCTGCACCCTGTGCTACACAGCTGCCCCCTGAGCTACACAGCTGCACCCTGTGCTACACAGCTGCACCCTGAGCTACACAGCTGCACCCTGAGCTACACAGCTGCCCCCTGAGCTACACAGCTGCACCCTGTGCTACACAGCTGCACCCTGTCACCATGGCGGCTCTGCCCTGACACCCGCCTTCCACAGCCGGCTGCTCCGAAAGTCACAATCTTACACTGTTACATATCTTATGCTGTGAGCATGTGAGAAAATAAACCAGAAAAGGTGCAGGTTAAATGAAACAACAGGCTCAGCTTGGGGGGGAGGACGCTATGTGTCAGTGGACTACTGAGGAGCCGTGCTTGCATGTGCAGAAGGATGTCTGTCAGCGAGAAGCACACCTATTTCAAAGGGGGGGGGGGGACACGTTGGGGCAGCGAGTCTGGGCCAATCATGCAGACATGAAAGCTTCTAAGACATAAGAAAGAAGATCACAGGACTTATTCCAAGTTCCAAACATGCATAAAGCCATAAAGAGTTAATATAAAAGAGCTTTGAAGTACAAAAACAAACATTTAATTAACAAGCCTGTGTATTTTCTAAACTGGAGCTTGAGGTCGTAAATGAAATCTAGAGCGAAAGGGATCCATTTTACAACATACTGTGAGACTGGTGTTTAATGATTGTGAGGAGGATTATCTTGCTGATATAATAAAAGACACAAGAAGAATACCTTAAAAGCAAAGATTGTTTGAGAAAGTCTGCCTGTTGACATGGCTCCTACCCAAGCAGTCATTAAACCCAGTAAACATCTCCAGAGGATACATGTGGAGGACCTCTTTGTCCTAGACATAACATTCTGGAGATAAATGGTGATCTTTGCTGCTCCTCTGCACACAGCTTGCCCAGGGTGTCGTGAGACCGTTACATGGCACTTTGTGTCGAGTGTGAACATCAAACACTGGGACATTGGTGGAACTCAGCCGTCCTTATAGCAAACTGACGATTAGAACTTAATGAAAGGCCACCAATACAGATGGGGGTTGATCAGCAAGGGGACGGCAGTGGTAGAGGTGAAGAGACCATCCAACCCTGCCCCCCCCCCCCTCCTGAGTGCCATCAGCTCAGCAGCTCTGCCATCAACTGCCACGACCCCCCCCCCCCTTCTTCACCAACAAGCCAACACTGACACATAAATCCCCCTCCCCAAATGTCATTATCAGTGTCACACCTGCAGAAGAGCCACTGAAAACTTTTCACAAAGAAAGTTCACTTTGCGTGCCCTGACGCAGTACATATCTTGTGGTCATATATGAGTGTGCTGGAGGCACTGCAGGACAAACAGCTGGCAGCTCATGGGTTAAACTAAGCCGGCCATCCAGACAGACGCCTGAGAGATTTCCTCTCTGCTACTGGAACAAACAAACTCCCCGGCGTGCCAGACCAAGAACCTCTGTTTAATTACAAAGTTCAGCACGAAGGCATTCCGATACCTTTCCATTCGATTTAACACTAAGCACATTCAGCATCCCAAACGAGACGTGCAAACGGCTAAACGACGTTACCAAAAACATCTTTTATTTATCAGAATCTGAGGAACAGGCAGCACATGCTTATTCAAGGTCCGTTCCGGGTCCTTTAAAGGTTCCTGTAAAATCCTGTCTGTAGAAAATTAGCGCAACTTATATTTACGAATATCCCAGAAAAAGAGGCATCACAAGCCAATGCTGTATTGTAGATGC